TCAAAGAGAAATCTGTACCCCAGAAGAGAGCTCTCACCAGAACCTGACCAAGATGCTCCTTGATCTTGGTCCGGTAGACTCCAGAACTTGGAGAAATAAGTCTGTATTGTTTATAAGCTACCCATGTGTAGTATTCTGTTATATTAATCAGAACTGAATAAGACACTCTTCTTGAATCAGCTTCATCACTTAGCTTGCAATATACCACATTGATCAAGTCCCTTCTACCTCAGTGTTTTCTTTGCTGGTTCCTATTGTCTCCCCAAACCCTAAATATTGGAAGCTCCCCATCTCAAACCTTACAACTCTTCTTTTCACTGTTATCACTCTCCTAAATACCATTTCCCCTGATGATCCTCAAATTGAAATCACCAGCCCAGACCTCCCCGTGAACTGCCATCTCCTATTTCTCCACTTGATGCCCTTGCTTGTATGTCTAACAAATGTCTCAAACATATTATATTGAAAACAAAATTCATGATCCTCTTACAACCTTCTCATTCCACAGTCCTCTTCCCATAGTAAATATAAATTCGGGGGCACCTGGGTGGCTTAGTCAGTTAGGCATCTGACTTCAGCTCAGTTTGTGATCTCGTGGTTGTGAGTTCAAGCCCCACGTTGGTCTCTGTGCTGACAGCTCAGAGCCTGGAACCTGCTTTGGAGTCTGTGCCTCCATCTCTCTGTATCTCCCCCACTTGCACTTTGTCTCTCCTTCTGTTTCTTAAAAATAAATAAGCATTAAAAATTTTTTTAAAAATATATAAATTCTATTTTTCCAGGTATTGAGTTTTAATATCTTGGAGTTTTTTTTGACTTCCCACTTTGTTTTATACCCTACCCTCATATCCAGCCTGTCAGCAGGTACTGTTTGCCATACCTTTAAAATATATCTAAACCAGACTCCTTTTCATCCTCTCTGAAATGACCACCCTGGTCCAAGCTACCATCATTCTTCATCTAAAGCATTGTAATCACCTTCTCATTGTTATCCTGCTTTATCCCTCTTTGACTCATAATTTTATTATGATTATTTTAACCCAGAAGCCAAAATATTCCTTTAAAAACTGAAGTATGACTATGTGACTCTTCCACTCACAATTCTGCATTGTCTTCCAGCTCTCTCGGAGTAAAAGCCAAAGTCATTACCCTGTGGCTTACAAGATCTTATATTATCTGCCCCCATCCATGCTAGTCTTTGACCTTAGATGCTTGACCTGTTTTTTTTCTTGCTTTATTGAGATATAATTGACAAATGACATTATGTAGGTTCAAGATGTACAATGTGATGATTTGGTACACATATATATTGTGAAATATATATTACCATAGTAAGGTTGGTCAACACATCCAACACATCACATTGTTACCTGTTTGTGTGTGTGGGGTTGGGGGTGGTAAAAATACTTACTCTTTTAGCAACTCTCGTGTACACAGTACAGTATTGTTAACCATTGTCTCCATGTGGCACAATCCCCAGAACTTACTCATCTTATACTTGAGGGTTTGTGCATTTTGACCAACATCTTTCCATCCCTAGCTGTTGGCAATCACCAATTTGCTCTCGGTTTCTGAGTGAATATGACTTTTTGAGATTCATAAGTAAGTGGTAGTATACAAGACTTGTCTTTCTCTGTCTGACTTATTTAACTCAGCATAATGCTCTCAAGGTCCATCCATGTTGTCACATATGGGAGGATTTCCTTTGTTATGGGTGAAGAATATTTCATTATATATATGATAGTCATATTACATATCATATATCCATATGACATATCATATATATCATATGATATCGTATGACATATAATATATATGTATATAAATACATATAAATCACACATACATATATATACACACACATATACGTGTGTGTGTGTGTGTGTGTGTGTGTGTGTGTGTGTGTATCCATATATACACATATATATACACACATCACATCTTCTTTATCCATTCATGTCTTGGCTATTTTGAGTAATACTGCAGTGAACATGTAGGGGTGGATGTCTCTTTGAGGTAGTGATTTTGTTTCCTAAGAGAATAAACAGATTGGTTGTACATCCAGAGTGGGTTTACTGGATCATATGTAGTTATATTTTTTTAAGTTTGTTTGTTTGTTTGTTTGTTTGTTTGTTTGTTTGTTTATGCCATCTTTACACCCAGCATGGGACTCAAACTCATGACCCTGAGATCAAGAGTTGGATGCTCCACTGACCGAGTCAGCCAAGTACCCTGGTAGTTCTATTTTCAATATTTGGAGGATCTTCCATACTGTTTGCCATAGTGGGCATACTAATTTATATTCTTACCAGCAGTGCACAAAGGTTCCCTTTTCTGTACATTCTCACCAACACTTGTTATCGCTTGTCTTTTTTAATAATAAGAATCCTAACAGGTGTGAGACAATATCTCATTATGATTTGGATTTGCACTTTCCTGATGTTCGTGATATGGAGCACCTTTCATGTACCTGTAGGCAATTGTGTGTCTTTGGAAACATCTTTGAGAAAATGTCTATTTAAGTTCTTTGCCCATTTTTAAATTGGATTATTTGTGGGTTCTGCTATTGAGTGATATGAGTTCTTTATATATTTTGGATATTAACCCCTAATTGGACATATGATTTGCAAATATTTTCTCTCGTTCTGTAGGTTCACAATTAATTTTGGTGACAATTTCCTTTGCTGTGAGATGCTTCTTAGTTTCATGTAGTTCCACTTGTTTATTTAATTTTTGTTGCTTGTGCTTTTGGTGTCACATCCAAAAAATGTTGTCAAGACCAATATTAAGTGGATTTTCCTGTTGGTTTTCTTCTAGGAGTTTTACAGTTTCATGTACAACATTTAAGTACTTTGATTTAAGTTTGTGACTAGTATAAAATGTGAGTTCAATTTCATCCTTCTTCATGTAGCTAGTCAGGTTTTCCAGTACCATTTATGGGAGAGACTGTCCTTTACCCATTGTATGTTCTTGCCTTTTTTGTTATAAATTAATTGACCACATATGCATGGGTTTATTTTTGGGCTCTTTATTCTGTTGGCCTATGTGTCTTTTTTTATGCCAGTACCATAATGTTTTGATTGCTGTAACTTTGCGATACAATTTCAATCAGGAAGCATGATGCCTCTAGCTTTATATACTTCCTCAAATTGATTTGGCTATTTGGAATCTTTTGTGGTTCCATACTGTTACCGAACCAGGCTGGAACGCTGAAGGAAAAACCAAGCGACACTTGGAGATCTTGGTGGATCAGAGATTTACTTAACACCGCAGGCTCAGAGGAGACTGTTTCTCCAAAAATCTGAGCGCCGAATGCCAGTGGGGAGGGTAATTTATAGTCATCAGCTTCCACATCTGTGGGGGCTTTCCCATGAGCAGCAAACAAAGGAAGAAGAACACAGAGGAGGGGTATCCAAACCAGAGACCAGAGTCTGTTTTAGCCCCATCAGCCATCTTTGGCATACTTTATTCACCTCTGCAACAATACAAATTTTAGAGCTGTTTTTTTTTTTCCTACTTATGTGAAAATGCCATTGGAGCCTTGATAGATATTGCATTAACCTACACAGATGGCTTTAGGTACTATGGACATTTCAATGATATTAATTCTTCTGATCCATGAACATAGGATATATTTTCATTTGTTTCTGTCTTCATTAATTTTTCATCAAAGTTTTATAAGTTTCCATGTACAGCCCACTGTCTCCAGAAATGTGGGTGCTACTGGGTCCTATAGAGTATGTAGATCCTTCAAATGCCCCCACTCTTATTCGTGTTGTGGCCCCTGTGGCCTATAGAGTAAATGGGGGAAATTTCCTCTGATGCCTAATATACAGACAGGTATAGTTGAGGAAATGCACACAAAGGAACTCAAGTTGCTATTCAACCCAATACTGACACCATCTGGATGGAAACAGGAACAAGGTAAGCAGTCACTGGACTGAACTCAGAAGGGTTTCACTGGTGGTCACTCATGAGCTCTAGTAATTAACCATTTGCACTGACAGGTAGACTGTTCTAAAGAGATTAACCTAGAATTTAGACACTGGGAAGCCAAAGGGCAGATTATCATAACTAAACCCTTTGGTATCAGGGTATGGTATCAGGACATTTGGGCTCACCGGCAAGAGCCTGAGGTGATCCTCACTATTTTCCAAGTCCTGGTTCATAAGGTACTGGTTGGTAAAGAGGAAAAATGGAATATTAAAAGATCAGATTAAATTATTAACGGGGTAATCACCTTGGCCTGGTGTACTAATGTGCTGTTACAGGCTTTAATGCATTTGAATGATCAAAAATTATGGTCTGTGGCTCCATATGCCAGACTGGGGACCCCTGCTGAGCCACCCAATACTATAAAGGTATAGAAGTCTAAGGAGATAGTTATAGTCCCCACTCTCACTGTGGATTAATATGCTATGCTGCTGAGAACACCAAAAGGTGTTGTCTACTGGAATTTTCCATGGGATGTCCCATAGGATAGGTGAGTTACTTTGTACCCTTGGGTGAGGGGGATCTACTGAATCTCTACTGGGATCCTGTTGTTCTGTTGAAAGACAGACCCGTGGAAATTCACTATACCTGTAATGGAGCATACCACATCAAAAGAGGGGAGAACATGGGGGTCCTGGTCTGGCATATTCTGCCCCAGTGTATCTTCTCATGCCTGACAGTGCTGCTTCCCTCTGCCAACATGAATGGCATGCACAACCAGGTTAAGTTCCTAAAGCTGCTGGTATCCCTTTCCTTCAAGGCCATAATGCCCTGACACCCCCCTGGCAATCAGGAGGCTGATCTCTAGTCTGGGTATAAGCCCTAGCAACTGACTCTGCAGTACCTATAGCAGATTAAGTGCAACTACTGTAGAGCCTTGGAATGGATGGAATGGCATATTGCCAGGATTTGCCCTTAAAATATAGTGACTTGGTAAATGTAACAGCATGTGCTATCTTTCTTTTTTTTCCTTTCTTCTATCTTTTCTTTCTTTCTTTTCTGGTGGAGCCTTTGTGATTTCTCTACATAATAAGATCATGTTATTTACAAATGGGTGATTTTACTTCTTCCTTCCTGATTTGGAAGATTTTTATTTCTTTTTCTTGCCTGATTGCTGTGGTAAGACTTCCAATACTATGTTGAATAGAAGTGGTGAGAGTGAACACCCTTGTCTTGCTCCTGATCTTATAGGAAAAGCTTTCAGCTTTGACTACTGAATGCAATATTTGCTGTGGACTTGTCATAAATGGCCTTTATTATGTTGAAGTAAATTCCTTTTATACCAAATTTATTGGGAGTTTTGAATTTTAAGTTCTTTTGCATCTAAGTCCTCCAAGTCCTTGAGTAAGTGCTCAAATGTGGCCTGGGTAAGAAAACACTGACATCAGCAGCCAAGGTGACCTTGTGTTGTGCTTTTATTCTGTGAATGACCTGGCACTAAATGCTGTCCCTCCATAATTCTTCCCAACCCCATTGGAGAAGACTCTGGGGCCAGATTCTCCCTCCTTGTTCCAAGGTCCCTAGGTGACTCCCTGGGAGTGGCCCAGGTGTCTGTCTCTGCCTGGCTTGTCCATGCCCTGATAGAGGGTAAAGCCAGGGCCAGAGCTGCTGATGTGGTTGGGGAAGTGGGAAAGAACTGAAGGCAGCCCAGAGTGGTGATTCCACTTGTTTGCAAGATCGTGGCTCATTGCTCCATCCACCATCCCATGGATCTGCTGCCTCTTCTGTTCCTGGATGCTGTTACTGCTTTCAGGCTTCCAGTGTGCACCAGCACAGGTGAGTGAGGGTTCTGCCCTGTGGGGACTCATGAGTCCTGCAGGACTCCTCCAGCTCTTTCCAGGGGTTCCCAGTCCCGCATTCCTTCCATGGTGCCCAGGAGCTCCGTTCCTCAGCCCTTCATAGGGGTCCCCACTCATGCACCCCTCTCAGGGCCCAGGAATCCCTCAGCCTTGCTAGGGGCCCAGCCCCCCTCCCCTCCAAACACACACACAAGTTCCAACCTCCTCCTGCCATCTGCAGCTCCCCCAGCTGCTGGCCTGTGATCCTGAGCTGACCCTTCACTCCGTTCATCCTTGGGGACTGAGATGAAATCACAAGGGGGGGTGGTATGGGAGGATGAGAGAAAAATGGGTAGAGGGAGCTGAGCCTGAGGTTGGGGGAAGCACATATTGTCTCTTGCTCACCCACCCCAGGAGTCACTCTTGAAGGATCCTCTCTGCAGCTGCTCATTTCTGAGGTGCATAGAGGTACACATACACAGAGAAAGAAACAGACACCACAAGCAGAGACACACAGGCATGGAACCACGCACAGCCTCCTCTGGGGACTCAGGTATGGGGCTCATGGACAGACTCATACACAGACTCACACTGCAGACATAGACACCCTGAGAGGAGCACTCAAGCACTCTCTGTCCCTCCCTCCCTCTCTCTCTCTCTCTCTCTCTCTCTCTCTCTCTCTCTCTCCTCTCTCTCTCTCTCTCACACACACACACAGATACACACACACAGACACACACACACAGATACACATACTCAGGGACACACGTTCAGGGACATGTACAACCCTCCCATGAGACACACCCTACACACACTGGACACACAGGAAACACACACACACACACACACACACACACACACACACACACAGAGTTGTCGATCAGAAACACCCAAAGTGGGAGCATATTCACACATAGAACCAATACACACACAGACACATAACACAGATACACACAGATACTCCCAAAGGGACACATGTACCCAAAAGATACAGATAGTATAGTCACAGATACAGAGATTTGCACAGTGGATATATGCTCATTCAGAGACACAGACACAGATACACATACATAGAGACAAACTGTTGCATCCACACGACTCCTGAAACAGAATGTTATGGGTACCAGTGACAGTTGCAACAAAATTTATTACAATGAGAAGCAAGGCCGATCGATCGGGACCAACACTCTTGATAAGAGTGTGGCCCCAAACAGCCGGGGTACAGAGTTTTTAAAGCCGATCACATTGTTTTATCATTATCTGGGAACAGAACAGAGAAACAGTTCCCAGACGAGTTAGAAACAGTTGCCAGATGAGTCAGAAACAGTTATCGAATGAGGTGATTATTTTAGACTTTCTGCTGCTAAGTTGCAACCAGTGGATCTTCTTGACCTTGTCTCTGATGCTCTTTTTTTTGAGATTTGTCTCCTTCATTGGTAAAGCCTGATTCACAAGGTATGAAGTATGATTTACAAGAGTAAAAGCAAGGCTGTTATCTTTTGACCTTTAGTGTCAGAACAAAGTTGTTATCTTTCAAGCTAAGCGTTAGCACTACACTACAATTTAACCCTTACAAAACAACAGAGAAAAATGATGAGGGAGCATAAGGCGAGGTGCTAGGCCTCAAACCGGTGCCCCCACCTGTATGTGTGACATCCCCTGGGCACTCCTGGCTGCCCAATAACAAAGGAAAAGGAAAAAAAAGAACAAATGGTTAATTGATGGAGATCATAGTCCTGCAGGGTCTGTCTCCATCTATTTACAAATATCTGAGTAAATCACAAGAAAAAGGCAATCTTATTAATAGACTAATCTCCAGAAATCTATGGACTTGGTTTCCTAGAACCCCAACAGCATCCCTTCATAGTGACGTAGGAAACAAAGGTAGAAGGAAATGGCAGGGAGAATAAAATTTCCATATGAGCTGCAGCCCATTGACAGATACTTGAGGCCTGCAGACTAAAACATTTCTCCAGGAACTCCCATTGTCTTGATGCTAATGATTTGCTAGAGGGCAAACAACCCTAGTTTGACAAAGATAGGCCTCCAGTATCCTGGAGGTCTTCTTTAGCATATGAAATTCTCATTGGAAACTTCCCTGGACTTGAACCACCCCCCCCCCAGCTCCATGTATAACTAGTCTTTCCTCATGGTGCCTGGCCAGCTCTTTGGCCAAGAGTCCTGTCCCAGAGCTTTAATGAAATCACCTTTTTGCAACAAAGATGACTTCAAGAATTTTTTCTTGGCCGTCAGCTCCAGACACTACGAACCCCACTGTCACCCAAAACCTCGTCAGAAAACATGAAAACAAACAAATAACAGGAAATTCATGTCCACAGTCAATATACCCACAGACACAGAACTCAGACTCACAGGTGCATAATGCAGATTACACACACGCACTCTCTCAATCTCTCTCTCTCTCTCTCTCTCTCCAGGACAGCTCTGGTACTCCAGTACAGACCATTACAAGAAGAAGGGGTGCACAGACCCTGGCATGACCTGTCCCATCTAAGTTGTCATGGAAGGGGGTATTTTCCTGGTTCCAACTCTGGGCCGGGCATCTGCCCCATGTCAGTGCTTTATGGAGGGTTGTGCCCAGGCCTGGATTCCAGAGAGTGGCCAGGGTAGGGTGGCCACAGGGACAGGGGCACAGGATAGAGACAGGGTACACATAGAGGTAGGGTGTTGCATGGGGCCAGGTCAAGTGAGGGAGACACGCGAGACTCTCCAGAATCCTTGGGTGTGTCAAAGTGGGCTGCGCCCTCTCCCACAACAATAATAGCACTAATGGCATCATCGGGACTAGTATATGATAGCATTATCATCACCACAGCGATGAATGACCAGCAGCCTGAGGTGCAGGAGCTGGCCTGTGACCTTGCCCTCTGGTTTGGCCTCAGCTTCTGTACAGGCTGACCTGGAGCAAAGCTGGACTATGGGGCCAAGCATCTTTGTGGCCCCCGCTCCCTCTGGAGTCTCCAGGTCCCAGCTTCCCACTTTCCCAACATCCCCTCCCAGACCCAAGTCAGCAGTGAGCCTTTTCTCAGCCTGGGTCCACCCTTCCCCTTGAGGGCTCTAAGCCTGTTTCCCCATCTGTGCAAGGGGTTAGAGATGGTACTGCCGCTGGGTCCTGAATGGTGATGTCTGCAAATGAAAGGCTTGGCACAGACCTGAAACTGGAGGGAACTGAGGTTTTCACCTTTGTTGCCTTTAACAGCTGTGCAACTTTTTAAGCCACCAGACTGGGAAGAAACATGCCCCAGGGAGGTGATGTCGCTGATATCCACTAGTGCTCAGCACGTGGCTTCCTCTTGTCCTCAGCACAGTTTTGGACACAGACATGGACACTCCCATTTTACTGAAGGAAACCAGCCCAGGCTCACACAGCTGGTAAGCAGCACACTGGATCTCAAACTCTAGGCTCCTACCCGTGCTGCCAGGGGCAATGAATGAAAGGCTCCCCAGATGGGAGGCTGACATTGGCTTTGGGGACAACTCCATGAATGATCTTACTTGTTTAAAGCCACCAAAACTCTGTTCACTGCGTCTACTTTCCCTGGTTCCTGCTCCAGTTATAATCAGGATGACCCTGGCCCCCCTTCATAGAATTCCCTAGGCTCCCTTATAGTCAGGGCCTCTCTCCCATTCACTTTTGGGTCAGTCAGACTCCACCCCCTCTGGAGCTGGCCTCTCCTTGTATAACAAGGACAGCCCAACACTGGGGCTCTTTAAGCAGGCAGCAGGATCTTAGGGGAGTGTAACTATTGGTTTTTCAGTCCTGTTTTGGGTTTGGTTTTCGTTGTTTTGTATGGTTTCTTTATACTTAGGTTGGAGACCTTGCTTTGCTCTTTTAGCAGTGCCAAAGTGGTTTCTGTTACGACTAATTTACCTAAAAATAAAAGTGAAGGGATTTAGAACAATGATTTTCAGATGGGTAATCATTGAGTCAATCATGTAGAGAAACTATTTAGGAAGCTTAGCTCAGGACAGAGCCCAGAAGAGATGAACACAGTAGGTTTGTCTAGTCCCCTGGGTCCCTGGACCCTGCCCACCTGCTTGGCCCTCCCCACCCAGCACACCTGGCACTGCCAACAATCTGGGTGTTGTTGCGGGTCCCCCAGGAGAGACACGGATGAACCATTTCTCTTAAAATGCTGTCATTCCTGGAGATCGCAGGAGATCCCTATTGAGTCAGCTGGATTTCTTCTCTGACGAACCCCCCCACCCCGTAAGTTCATAATGTATAGCCCATGCCAATAGGTAGGAGGGTCACACAGATAGTGACAGATCTACCACTGTTTGTGGTGTTAAAATGTCTAGGTCAGTTAGAGATGATTTGGGGATCAGACAGTCTTTTCCCACCAATATTCCAGGATATTGCAGGCCAGGAGACATTTTGGATTACAATTTTATCATGCTTCTATCATTTAGGTCAAATATAGCTCTGTTTTTTTGGGATTTCTTGACTCATATTCTACTTCTAGAGGAATTTCTCAATTTCTAAACCTATGGGAATTTCTAGTTACCTCTTTATTAGTGATTTCTAGCACATTCTAATACCAAACCATGCTTTGTGTGATTTCCTTCCTCTCAAAGAATTTCATTCCTTTGAAATTTCCCTTATGGCCATAATAAGTAGGGTGAATATTTGTAACTGTATCCTCTGTGCCTAAAGTGAGTGTCCTCTGCAGTGTTATGTCCATGTGGACACATATATGGATATAGTTGTGGATTCAGATGATTTGCTATCAAGATCTCTGTCTTATGGATGTTCTATCTGCTTTGACTTACTGAGAGAGGGTTAAATCTTCCTGTCTGTGTATTTGATTGTTCTCGCAGTTCTGTCCTCCTTTGCTTCCTCGGTTGTTCAGCTATTGCCCATGGGAGATGGGAGTTCAGAAAGGAAAGGGAGAACACTCAGAAGAGGTGACAGGGAGCTGGGCTAGGAAGGCCCAGAAACCAAAAGGACAGCCAAGTTTCCAGAGAAGAGCTGTCGTTGGGGTGGCATGTGGTGGTGTACAAAGTAGGAAGCGGCTTTTTAAAAATGAGGCCACATGGGGTGTCCATATTGCTCTACCAGGTTGGTCGAGAGAGAGTATAAAGGTTCCGGGTTACTAAGGCAACACCCAGACAGGTGAGGGCTTGGAAGAACAAGGATCTTCCTCTGCTCTACCTGCTTTTGAGAGTACACTTAACCTGCTGTTTGTGTCCTGCTCACCTAGTGATTTACTGAACTGCTAACCTACTAACCTGTCTGAACCCTCCTCCCTCCCCTCTTGTACTTGATCTGATCCTAGTACTGTCTCTGACCTCCTTCTTCTCCTGACACTCCCCTTCCCTAACCCCACCCTGGTTTTATACTCCTCCCACATCCCCAATTACCACCCTCCCCACTTTCCCATCCCTCCCTACTCCTCCCTTGCCCACCTACACCCCATCCCCCATATCCACCTCCTGCCTGGAACCCTAGAGTCCCCTTAAAGGACAGGGATAGGAAGGGGCATAGGTTGTGTTTCTAGCTCCTTGTGCTTGGGTGTCCTGGTTACCCAAACACAAATGTGAGTAAACATGGGACATCGGTGGATTCCTCCTTCCTATTGGGTTCTTTCACACTGATTAAACAGCAGCTTTTCTGTGGGGCTTTTGATGGGAACTTCAGAAGAACTTCATTTCTTCCTGAAGACTGAGGACCACAGGGCAGGTTTCTCCACCAGCCTGAAGTGGTTGTGGCCACAGCTGTCCACATCAAATTCTGGGTCCTGTCTGTGCTGCTTGGTCCAAAAAGAGCAGTGTTGACAGGATGTAAACCTGAACATAGTAGGTTTATAGTGTCAAGAAGGAAGGATTTGTGAAGATACTAAAAGCTATTGAGCTGATTGAAATAAGTGTTTCTATGATGTGTGAATTATTTCATTAAAGTTTTTTTAAAATTGTCAACAACTCTTATTTAATACGAACTATGGAACTATGGGTATGGTACTGGTTCCTGAAAGCCCTGTCAAGATCCTGCTTCAAGCTTTGTAAGCTTAGGGTCCATCTTATATGTAGTTCATTTTCCTATCAGCACATTGTTCATATTTGTGAAGTTTGGTAGGCCTGGTAACAGAGATAACTGGATTGGTGTTATTACTAGAGTGTTAAAAAGTGAAATGTCCTTGGGCTGTGTACTTCCTGGTTTGTTGACTTTTAGCAACTTCTGAATCATGCCTTTGCCTCTGGTCTTCGAAGCTGCCCCCAGGGACTCTGTGTCCAACTATGTTGTTGGGAGCCTCATAAGCCCAGCAGAAACTAAGTGACTGCATCTTGCTTGGACATCTATGATAGGAAATTCACTAGGAGCAACATGATCAGGAAGTGAATGAATTGTTGTCCTTTCTTTAGCTAACTATGTGCAGAGTGTTTATTTACTCAAAACAAGAAGGGTTTTGAATGTCGTTGGGATTTTCCAAATAAAATGAAATACCTGGTTCCCAGTGTGACTAGTCAAAACCCGTACCCCTAGGAGAGTGAGAGAGGCAGACAGACAGGGAACACCATAGAGATAAGTAGATTTCTTTAGATTGGCATGTACCAGATCCTTAGAGAGGGACCTTAAAAGTCCCAGTAGTCAGGAATAACCCTAGCACTGAGGCAGAATCATTCCACATGAATGCCTCCAATCTAAATAGAATCAATTCTATTTCTTTTGAGACTGTGAAGGAGGAAAATTCTTGATCATCTTTATTAGAATTTCCCCCCCTGTACCTAGGCTGCCTCTCACAGATAGGTTCAACTCTCTCTCCCTACCTCATCTCTGAATTCTTCTACCAACTAACTTGTCTTGCATTTCCCACCTCCACCTACTCATGGCCATTGACTGTGAGAACCTAGTGTTATTGGCCCCAATGGATCTAATCTAGTTCAGTGTCAACTACCAATATCAGCAGCCAGGCAGCTGCCAGATGCACCAAGAGTGCCCACAGCTGAAGATGTTTTACCTTCATGACAAGATGGCCTGTGTCTTTGGTGCATTTGAGCCTCATGACCATCCATTGTGCTGAGAGCTACTGCTTTCTTTCAGACAGTGGCTAGACAAAGACAGTGTATATTTCCCACCATTACACATTTTCGTGACCTCATCTCTGAGAGCTGAAGATGAAAATGTTATAGACTTCAGAGGTTACTTTCTAGACATGTTCATTTGCACAAAATTAATCTTGGTATGTGAATTGCATTGTGAGTGTTTTGCTCCTAAAGTGCTTCTAAGTCCATTTTTTGTAGAATGATATGTGTCTGTTTTTTTGGTGGCCGTATCCTGGAATTTTGTATTCTTTTATTTACTGTTTATTTTTTTAAATTTTTTAAAATATTTATTTAATTTTGAGAGAAAGAGACAGAGCGTGAGTAGGGGAGGGGCAGAGAGAGAAGGAGACACAGAATGTGAGGCAGGCTCCAGGCTGTGAGCTGTCAACACAATGCCCGATGTGGGGCTCACACTCATGGACTGGGAGATCATGACCTGAGCCAAAGTCAGTTGCTTAACTAACTGAGCCACCCCGGCGCCTCTGTATTCTTTTAGAGATCAATTTTCAGAGTTGCTATTGATTGATTTTGGCACAATACCATGAAATAGAAACATGAATTCTTTTCACTGGCTATTTGGAGATGTGTGTTCAAGTAACTTAAAATTCCACAGATACTATCAAAATATACAAAATCACCTGATTATGCAAATCTTTTTGTACCTCAGAAATCTGACATTTTGAGCTGTGATTCAGAATCAAAGTGAACATTGAAAGAAAACATCAAAAAGTGAACCATAATGTGTAATTTCTCTTCTTGGAAAAATAATCCCATATTAGTATAATAGCAGTTGCCCGTCTCTCTCAGATATATCTGTATCTGTAAACATCTTTCTCTAGAACAATCTCATTTGTATCTCTAGTACATTTTGTGTTTTTACTTTCTTCCATTCTTCCATGAATTTTGGGCATAGTTTGGGGATATTCCAAAGGATTTTATCCAGGTACTTCGTGAATGTACAATAGAAGTCATTGACTTCTTATCTATAAATTTGCATTTTCTTAATTATTCTATTTTACATTGGCTTACAAATTCTTAGTATTAAAACACAGTTGCAATATGTTTTTCTTTTTTTAAAAAAAATTTTTTTTTCAACGTTTATTTATTTTTGGGACAGAGAGAGACAGAGCATGAACGGGCGAGGGGCAGAGAGAGAGGGAGACACAGAATCGGAAACAGGCTCCAGGCTCCGAGCCATCAGCCCAGAGCCCGACGCGGGGCTCGAACTCACGGACCGCGAGATCGTGACCTGGCTGAAGTCGGACGCTTAACCGACTGCGCCACCCAGGCGCCCCTACAATATGTTTTTCAATAAAATAAAACCTCTTAGTGTTGCCTATTATATCTTTCCTACAGCTTCAGTGTCGTATACTTTGTATAGAATAACAATACCTTTCTAAAGAATACAATTCATTGATATTTGACAAATGGTAAGCAGCAATGAAACCATGACCACAGTAAGATAGCAAACACAGACGTCACTCCCATAAGTTTGTTCCTGCTCCTTTGTAAGCCATGTGTCCTCTCACTCTTCCATGAGGAGACATTTGAGAGGTGTGCTTACTAACCTCCTGGAGGCTGGTAGAGGGTTTATAAAGATGATTCTTTATGACAGATATATTATAAACGTCTTTAAGATTCCTATCATCTCCAATATTATTTCAGCCTATCCATATTTTGCCTGACCATTTCCCTCTTGGCTGTGATGTGTTTGAAATTCACTGGAAACATAGCATTATTACCGCTTCCATGGGAACTTATGCTTGTCTAATTTACCTCCAGTGAACTGTTTTTGTGGTGAGTATACTAAAGTACCTTATAGATAGACTTGCAATCATAAGTAAGCAGAAAATTTTATAATAGCTGGACCTTTTATATGCTTTCAATATTACAAATTTCCCTCTAATATGTTCAATTTTCATTATCATTTAGACTACATATGTTAAAATTTCTGTAGAAGTGTCTTCTTTGACCTATATGGACTTTTAAAAATTCAACTATAATTAACATGCAGTGTTATCAGTTTCATCTGTTCCATATGATTCAGTGATTTCATGCATTTCTCGTGCTCATCACAAGTGTACTTTGATCTACTTCACCTCTTTCAGCCATCTCCCCATCCAACTCCCAATGAGTCCATGTCTTTTTGAGAAGGTTGTTGTTTAATTTCATTTTTTTTGTCATTGTCCAACTAAGACAATTGTTCTTGATGTCTAGTTTGAGTGATTTGTGATCTGAGAACATACTTCCTATGATTTCGTTTACTTTGTTCAGATCTCTGTATAACGTCTCAAGTCCCTGCTCTAATTTTATAATGTCTTCAGGGAATAACTCTGGTCAAGGAAGCACTTTTTGCACTTTCTGGAAACGTTTGTTTTCATTTCTGTTGTTGCTTGTGTGTTTTCTCTAGCCATCTCCCCCTTCCTTTCTGATTTGAAAACCTTTGCTGTTGGTGATGTGGGAAAAATCATAGGACCTGATTTGACAGAATTGTTTGTCAGTTCAGGAAATAGCCAACTGCAGGAGACATTTCTCTGGTGTTTCTGGTGAGTCAGAGGCATCTTTTAGTCCAAAGATTTTACCTTTACTTTTGTTTTGTCTGAATCTCTGAGATATTTGTGGTTCTGGAGTTTATTATGGCTATTGGACTTGACAAAAAAGAATTGCAAGTAAATGGTGCATTGGCTATTAAATTAAAATAAGTCTGCCATTTCCATTATTGAAGATTAGTAGTTTGATATCTGTTTCATAGAATGGAAACAGAGCTTTGGGTCAAAAATGAGATATCTACCTTAATTCTCTTCCATAGAAATGGTTGTTAAAATATCAGCAAGTAGAAAGGAAATTCTTTCTATTGGTTATTCTACTTCTAAAGTTTTAGTATGCTAGGCCACAGGTACACTATTCTAGAGTGTTTCCTGAGGCAGAGGAAATAAAAACAAAATTAAACTATTGGGGCTACATCAGAATGAATTGCTCCTGCTCAGCAATGGAAACAATCAACAAAACTGAAAGGCAACTTACTAAATGGGAGAATATATTTGCAAATGACATAGCTCATAAAGGGTCAGTACCCAAAATATATGAAGAAATTATACAACTCAACAGCTAGAAAACAAATAACAATTTACAAATGGGCCAAAGTCACAAATAGACATTTCTGTGAAGAAGACATTCAGAAGGCCAGCAGACACATGAAAAGATGCTCAACATCATTCATGGCCAGGGAAATGCAAATCAAAACTACCATGTGACATCACCTTACACCTGTCAGAACAGCTAAAATCAATAAGACAAGAAAAAAACTAGTGTTGGTGAGGATGTGGAGAAAAAGAAACCCTCATGCATTTCTTCTGGGAATCCAAATTGCTGTTGCCATTTTGAAAAACAGTATGGAATTTCCTCAGATAATTGACAATAGAACTAATTTGTGATGCAGTAATTGCACTACTGGGTATTTACCCAAAGAATACAAAAGAAAAAAAATACTTCTAAAGGATGTAAGTACCCCTGTGTGGGATACGCTTAAGAATCCCCTGGGAATCCCCTGGGCTTACACCAATGGGTTAACAAGGCACAAAGAAATACAAAGTCAATATAATACTCACACCTGAGTTTGGGTAAACTGGATTGACACTCCAAGAATGGGGGGGGGGGGTTCAAAGACACCCTGAGAATAGGGAGGAACAGGAATAGGAATATGGAGGTACAAAATAGGGAGAGGTGCTGAGCCCCCAAAATATATAGAGAGATACAAAGGACTGAAATAGAAATGGTGCAAAGGTGGCCGATACACAGAAATAACAAGATTAGATATTCAGGATGAAAGCACCCCAAATTTAGCACTATAGCAGAAAGCTGCTTTCATAGGAGAATAGGGCCAGGAAAGGTACATTGGTGACTTGGACTTTGGACCACTGAGATGCAGGCAAAGCAGCCTGGAGTGGAGATGGTTAACAAAAGAAAAGTTGGCTTATTAACCCTGAGGTTATTCCCCCAATCTGTCTCATCCCCTAGGCTGGCAAAGATAAAGAGGCACAGCACCTCCTGTCTGCTATTAACAACAATCTACCCATCTGCCCGGTGCCTGGATTTTGTTTTATGTTTTGTGTTTGGGGTTACCCAAACCTCAAACACTGTGTATCTTCAAAATCCCCTTTTCCCTCTCACATCCACAGGTTAATGTTTCTAGTTTCTTTGTCTCTTTGTATACACCCATCACGTTTGCAAGCCTTCTGATCTGAATAAATATGGGGCAAGAACCCTTATTCGGGGCTCTTGTCTTTTTCCTGGACAGTAGCCATCTCTCCTTTGAATCCTGCATCTGCTCTTTTGCTGGCCAAAAGAGAACTTTAGACTTAGAGTCTATGACACACTCCTATGTTTACTGCAGCGTTATTTACAATAGCCAAATTGTGGAAGCAGCCCAAGTGTCCATCAATAGATAAGTGGATGAAGAAGAGGTGATATATACATTAACACACACACACACACACACACACACACACACACACACACACGCACACACACACTAGAATATTATTCAGCCAAAAAAGGAATGAAATCTTGCCATGTGCAACAACACGGATTGATAGGATATAATGCTAAGGAAAGGTAAATACCATATGATTTCTCTCATATATGGAATCTAAGAAACAGAACAAATGAGCAAATAGGGAAAAAAGAGAGATGAACCAAGAAACAGATTCCTAACTTTAGAGAACAAAGTGATGGTTACCAGAGCGGAGGTTGGTGGGGGGATGGGAGAAATAGGTGATGGGGATTAAAGAGTACACTTACCAGGATGAGCCCTGAGTAATGTATAGCATTGTTGAATACCGATATGTGCACCTGAGTCAAATATAACACTGTAAGTTTACTATACTAGAATTGCAACACTTACAAAAATAATTTATTTTGCTGAACCACCCTTTATTATAATACCATATTGGGTTATGTTTTTGACATTGTTGTCACGAGCTATACTTTTATAAAAAATATTGTTTCTACATCAAATTTAATTTTCTTTATCTCTCTTCTAGGTACAGTCAAGTATATGAAGGTAAGATTTCAAGCCTCTATTTTCCTTGTAATCTATTGTTTTTAAATCCCTTTTTAAAAGATTCAAAAGCCTGACACGGGGCTCGACCTCACAAACCATGAGATCATGACCTGAGCCACAACCAAGACTTGGATGCTCAACCAACTGAGTCACCCAGGTGCCCTTTAAACGTTGCTTAATACTGCTGTTCACTGTGGTTTCTCATTCAGCTAGAAGTAAAGACATTGACTTATCAGGTCTAGTCAGCCCCTTAACTCTTTACAGTGACTTTCCCTTGTTTGCATCCTAAGTGAAAACACAGACTGAGTTGCCACCAACAGAGACAGGTGACCAAGTAGAGGAAAAAATCAGGCAACTAGAGAGGAGTGGATGAATTTAACTCTGGTCAGAAATGTTTAAGAATCCAGTGGCAGGAGTATTTTGACATGACCTGTCTACTGGGGGAAATGTACGGATTAAGGCACTATCTGAGCCTGTCAAGAAGCTCAAGGCTTAGAGAAGAGGTCAGATATTGCCAGGCCACGTGTGTGTCACTAGAGAGGTTTAAACATGTGTTATGAGTCCTGGGTGGAGGGAGCCTCTAATGCCAATGGAGAGTGAGTGGAAGTGAACAAGATGCAAAATGGGGCTAATGGATTGTGTATGGGCTTCACGGACTGTGCAGATTAAATGGTCTGGCACATAGTGGGTCCTCAAATGCTGTTGTTGCTATGGGTAATACAGCACTGCTGGTATAGAGAAGGGTAACCTCAGGGCAGCAGAGCTCTCACATTGTATAAATAGAAGGTAAGCTTGAAGTTTGGGACTGTACGATAGAATTAAATGCCTGTCAGAAGATTCTGGAGTACTGGGCCCTGTTCTAGGTGCTTTCTGTATGCTATCCATGTATAAGGTGAGTGTTTCCTGTATGCATGGTGTTTACCAGTAATGCAGGTGCTAAGGTTTGCATCTTGGGCTTTTGCCATCTTGTGATTTCGGGAGATGAGGAGTTATCCAGGGTTCTAGCTACTAAGTAGTAAAGCTGAGATTTTTACCCAAGTGTGTTTGATTCCAAGGCCATATGCACCTGAGCATCCCACCCTGGTTCCCATGGACGGGACCCTGTGGAAGAGCAGAAAGACATTGGAGGCCTCTGAGTGCCAAACAAGTGACATTTAGAATAATTTCTCTCTCTGTATTTGTTTAAATGTTTATTTACTTATTTTGAGAGAGAAAGCATGTGCACGAGTGGTGGAGGGGCAGAGAGAGAAGGAGAGAGAGAGAATAGCAAGCAGCCTTCATGCTTTCAGTATAGAGCCTCACATGGGGCTCAATCTCACCAACCGTGAGGTCATGACCTGAGCCAAAATCAACTGATCATGCGCCCAGGAGCCCGACTCTCTTGCTATAGTTATTGTTATTGTTATTGTTATTTATTTATGTATCCATTTATTTATCCATTTATTTATGAGAGGGAGTGAGGGTGAAAGTGAGGAGGGGGCAGTGGGAGAGGAAGGCAGAAGATCTGAAGCAGGCTATGTGTTGACAGCAGCGAGCCTGATATGGGCTGGAACTGGTGAGCTGTAAGATGATGACCTGTACTGAAGTTGGATCTCAACTGACTGAGCCACCCAGGAGTTCCTTTCTTTATTTTTAAAGTGTGAGTGAAAGTGGGGGAAAACCTGGATGAAATTAAGTAGGTTATTTTTTTCTTTTTGACTTTTGTTTTTAAAGCAATTGCACTCGTTTATTTGATCATGAAAGACAGAATATAAGTATGTAGGATACTTGATTTTTCTCCATTTCTCCTCTGGTGATGTCAGAGAAATTTGAACTGTTCATATATTCTAAGAATAATCTTACTTAATGATGGCATATTAGGGGACACCTGTGGCTCAGTCGGTTGTGTATCTGACTTTCGATTTTGGCTCAGGAAATGATTGCAGGGTCATGGGATGGAGCCCTGACTTGGACTCCCACTGAGACTGGAATATGCTTAAGATAAGATTCTTTCTCCCTACCCTTCACCCACTCATGTGTTCTCTCTCTCTGAAAGAAAAAGAAAGAGGAGAGAGAGAGAGAGAGAGAGGAGAGAAAGAGAGAAAGAAAAAATAAAATTCCACTAACTAAAACTTGCTTTCTTCAGCGACCACAGTAATGACAAAATGTTATATGTGACCAAAGTGCCAGATCATGTGTCTTTCTGTTGACACAATGGGTAATTTGATTTTACTGGTTTTGGTACTAATCTTAAGAGATTGATTTTTTTTATCTTTTTGGTTAATTTAGATCAAATTTCTGAGAAGATTAAGTACTACATGAAGGAAAATGAAAAATGTGCAGAAAAAAATACCATTTGTGAAGAGCAGGTATAACCACCCCCCCTTTTTTTCATTTTCATGATTTCATCTGGAATTGTGCTCACTTATGGTTCACTGATTTTGCCATCTCCTCTTTTATCCTGATGTCCCATTTCATTCCATTCTCTACCAGGCTAAATTCAAAGCAATGATCACATATGTAAAATACCACATCCTTTATTTCTGTAATGACTTACCCACAAGAGATAGGTTTTTATGTCAGCGTAATTAATATTTTTGAATTCTGAATCCTTTATTACATATTTGTGTAGATCAATGGAGCAAAGAAATGTGCTCAAGAAACCATGTGGCATGGGGCGCCTGGGTGGCTCAGTCGGTTGGGCGGCCGACTTCGGCTCAGGTCATGATCTCGCCGTCGGTGAGTTCGAGCCCCGCGTCGGGCTCTGTGCTGACAGCTCAGAGCCTGAAGCCTGTTTCAGATTCTGTGTCTCCCTCTCTCTGACCCTCCCCCGTTATGCTCTGTCTCTCTCTGTCTCAAAAATAAATAAACATAAAAAAAAAAAAAAAAAGAAACCATGTGGCAAAATAATCTTCCCTCTTATGAAGCACATAGATGTAAGATAAAAATCCCTTCTTTGTCCTGGGGCGCCTGGGTGGCTCAGTTGGTTAAACATCCAACTCTTGGTTTCAGCTCGTGTCATGATCTTATGGTTCATGAGTTTGAGCCCTGCATCAGGCTCCATGCTGATGGTGGGAAGCCTGCTTGGGATTCCCTCCCTCTGTCTCTGTCTGCCCTTCCCCTGCTAGCTCACTCTGTCTCTCTCTCAAAAAAAAAAATTTTAAAAAAGTATTAAAATCCCTTCTTCGTCCTTTAAAAATAGAAGTAAAAGTAAGGAGTAAGTATTCCTGATGACTATGTGTTTTGTTGAAGAAGAACTGTGAGACACTTGAGCGCACTAATGAATTTTTTAATGATATCATTCCAAGTGTGCATGCTTCATTCCAATCTGAGAGAAATCAGAATGTCAAGAATTGGGGCTTCCTGAGTTACCATAATTTGATGTTTGAGCCCTTTTGGTCATTGGGTGAATTGAGCCCCTCAACCTTCCATGCTGTTCACTGCTGTTTCAAGCAGTAACACCATAGTACCTTTTTAGGTAGGAGTGAGGCAGAATTTGTTTTCATAACCCTGGCTTAAGTTTTATATCATTCAGTGCTGCCAGGAGAGAGCACTAGAGGTTTCACCATGTTGAACAGTTGTGTTCCTCTTAATTCAGAGAATTTTGAAAGTGAATCTGGTGACAATATTTCTCTTCCATAACGAAAAGCCATTCATTGGAGCTGTTTGGCTTGAAAGATTTTACACTTTCTTCGCTTTTTCATTGTCATCCAGTCACAGTTCCATTGTCTCAAAACCAAGATAGTTGCTCTGAAACATTTACCCCTTCCACCGTTCTCCTCGGCCTTCATTTCTTTATGTGTCTGGCTTTTCCCTTTGGCCCAAACTGGGTTGACTGTTTTTAATGATACAGAGACTGACTTTGGGGTATGTTCTATTGACAATGCTTCTTCGTGACACATTGTCCAGTGTTTGCTTGGAAAGCCTAGTACACATTTTGTTTCTATCTTAGTTGCAAATCAGGGAAAGGAAAAATCCACAAAGAATTTAAAGGTGCTAATTTAGTAAACACTTCAGAAGTTTCAGAAGTAAATTCCCTCTATTTCCTGCAGGATTTCCATTGTACGCTTTAGCTTTGAAGAAAAACAAATCTTTATGTCTTAGAATATTTTTTTTATATGTTATCTACTGAGTGATCTTCTTGGGAGGAAGTCACTAGAGAGAATGTTTTGCTCAGGTTCACCTCTCCCTTAATGAAGTTGATACCAGCGAAGTGAAATTGAAGTCTGAAAAACAGCCTCTGCAGAAAGAAAATGCTCAGCTCAAGACCCAAAAGAATCAGGTAACATAATTTACTATCAAATGTTATATAAAATCAGAGAACTGAACATCATTACTTTCTTTGTAAGTTTCTCTTCTTTAACTGTGGTAAAATACATGCATTAGAAAGTTTCACATCATAAACATTTAAGTGTACATGTTAGTATTGGTAAGTACATTCGCTATTCTTCCATAGTCATTCCAAGTTTCTCAAATCTGTCTTAAAATCAGGAGATATTACTGCACGCATCAAGGATTCGATGCAGGGAGTCTTGACGTCTAATAATGTAACCTAGAATAGGTGTTGCTTTGGCGGGGAGAAAACCACACTTGGTAGAATGAGTTTGCTCTGGGAAGGTAAAAAGTGGCTTCCTGTCTTGTCCTTTCTCCTCTCCCCCCTCATGGCCACCTTCGCGGGAACAGGTGTGCACACTCAAGTAAACTGTTTTATGCTTGACAGGCAGAAAATGGGAGCTGGGGGACAACTGTGATGCACTTAGGTTGTGAAAGGGGCAAAGGACGCCAAATGGGACACACCGAGGAAGAATGTAGACGTTCATGATGGAATGTGTGGACAAAGACAGAAGCTCACAGAAAAGTAAGACTTTCAGGAGTTAATTGTTACAAACACTGTTGTAAGAATGAATGTGTCAGACAGTGGGGATAATTTTCTTTCTTTGAGCACATTTAACACCAACCATACTTTTACCTTAGTAATCAGTAAAGAATTGTTTCTCCCTTCTGCCTTGATTTCTGTGATCTGCATCTTCCTTCACTTTGTGGAAACCTCAGGGTTCATTTTCATTGTCCTTTACATTTCAGCCCCATCGTAGTGACATGACTGCCATAGAGGTGTGTGTGTGTGTGTGTGTGTGTGTGTGTGTGTGTGTGTGTGTGTATTTGGTGAAACTCTAGACATTGGGTAGGAAATATTGGGAGGAGAATTCAGGTGTACTGTGATGGTATCTTGCTGCAGATGATATGGGAGTTTATGTCTGGTAAGAGATCAGGAGTGCCAGCATTACTGAAACCTGTGAACTCAGTTTTCCTTCCTTTCCCTCTTTCCCTTCCCTTCCTTTCCCTTCCCTGCATTCCTTTTCCAGGAGACAATATTCTGAAGGTGGGAAATTCACATCATTTTCTTTTCGTCAGTGTATTTTACATTCTTCTCAACTGGTGTCTTTGAGACAGGTGGCAGGAGTTGCCTCGTGAACTGCAGAAATATCCAGGAGGTCATTGTACAGTGTTAATGACACCATGTCCAAGAAAGATGTCTCTATGGCAATGTTATGGCCCGAGCCTTGATTGAAAGTTCAGGGCTCTTGGGATAAATCAGTCAAGTCAGAAACCCCTGCGTCATCCTCATGTGTTTAGTTGTGATGAGTTGGCCAGGCTTAGTTTTGTACATTGAAAAGAAATACACTTTTGCCATTCCAATCACAAGAGCCTGACTGGGAGGGCGCTTAGTGAATCTCACGTGGGCTTTTTATATTTATGTGATGTATTGATGAGTATGAATAGAGAGCTGTGAAAAGAAGCTCAGGGTTGCCAAAGACTTGCCAGCATGCTGGAGTTTGCGTTTGTTTATTCCCTTAGTGGCAGGCATCACTGCTTCCCCCTGGTTGCATTTGTGGATCTGTGCATTAATGGGGAAGGGGAGAGGAGACATTTGAGTCCTGCCTTCAGATTTCAGGGAGGGAAGAAAGACAGAATTTTACATGGGCTACCAGGTAATGTATGTTTTTTCCCCCTCATAGAAAGCTGGGACTGAAAGAATGGGAGCAGGTGGAAGGGGAGAAGCAGCTGTCAGCCACAGAGGAGAAAGTCAAATTAGCTGCAGAAGAGCTTCAGAACTACAAGTGAGTTCAGCTCCTACCACCATTTCATGTGATGGCCATTGTATTACTTTGAAACTTTGTACAGTGTTTAGAGCCAAGTAGCACACAAATATACACATTCAAGAGACTTTCATTTATATAGAGACTTCAAGAGAGATGTGACATTTTCCAGATGTTAAGTTAAAAATATTAATCTAAATAGGTTAAAGTAACTAAAGATTTCCTGATCCTCATTGCTGGCCAGACTATTTGGAAATGTGGTTCCTGAACATGTTTCTGGAGGTGCTGGAAATGATTACAAACCTCAGGGAGCAGTTAGTTTGAGGATGAATCACATCGACAAGTATGACCATCCCATTTTAGATACCCACTTGTTGTAATCATGAGAAATATGATAAGGATACAAGGAAAAGAAGATTTGAGCTTTACAATTAAATATCCTCATTGCAGAATTAGGGAGCTGTCCCCACAGGTAAGGAGACCATGTCAACGTGGAGCCCTACAGGCATTAAATAATAAATCCAAGATGATGTAGTGATGGCTTTGAGCTTTCTGTACTCTCCTCCTCATGTGAAATGTGTCTTCTATGATTGGGTCATGTGTATGAGAATTCAGTTCTTATAATGGGAACCTGGGCCAATTAACATCACCCTCCACATGGTGCTTCATCTGATGAAAGCCATTGCATGTCCAGGAGAACACTGGAAGAAACACCAGAACAGCTGCAGCAGTCAGAGCTCACCTTCGGGCACCAGGTAGCCTGCACTCTGCCTAGTAGTTCCTGAGTGCTTCAGCACATAACACAGATGATCATAAAGGGGAACTGAATCTCTCCACATGGGTTTTATTGCTGACTGTTTCAGATTGCTCTTTGTGAGAAGGCACTTCAAGACAACTGGGTAAGAATGTTTTTCTCTCCTCCTCTTGTGCACACCCTGCCACAGATAAATGTGGATGTATTTCTCTCTGGAGCTCAGGGCTCATGATCTGGAGAGGGCAGTGGCAGAGCAGAGCAGGGAGGTTGCCTACTTGAAATGCAGGTACAGGATTTTGACATATTTCTTTTAAGGGCGCTGTGAGGTTTTTAAAAAGGCTAAACCCTTTGGTGTCCAATGGAGGCCTGGGTGTGGTAACTCTTAGTGAAACTGATTCATCTCGATGTTCAAGACTGGAAGTCATCCAAAAACAGAGGCTTCCAGAGGAATTCAGGAGGCACAAACGAATGGCAAGAGGACCTGACAGGGAGATCCCTCCATGGAGAGGTACAGAGCACATTGTGAAATGCAGTAGCTTAACTTCTGTGATAACATCTGCACAAATGGCTTCTTGTTCCAGTGGGTGTCATTGGCTTGGTCTCATGCAAACAGTCCCAGGTGGTTACTAGAGGGCACAGGTTGTCTCACAGTGGTGACAGGACACTGGTTCCCTCAGATGCCCCGGCCAGCAGGGCTCATTGGGTCTGTCCCTTGTGAGTGGTGGAGCTCACACCCCTTCACTGACCGTGGGCCCCCCTGAAACCTCCCGGTTACAATTAACTGGAGAGTGGGTACTAGAATGATCATGGGTCAGCACCCCTTCCACCTTGAGACAATGTTGAAGGCTGTTTCTTTTGTTTCACATGAATAATGTGAACAACAGCATGAATTGGAGGCTGTATGTCCTGATGAGCTTTCTTGAATTGGCCTTTGGATAAATGCTCATAGAAAATACACTTTGATTAAAGAAAGCAGACATTTCTTCCTCTGTTTACAGGTCCCTTTATTATTTATTTATTTATTTATTTATTTATTTATTTATGTATTGTGAACTATAGTACTCAATTAGTAAAGTAAATCCTTGTGAAATTTCACTCCTCTAATGTTATTTTATTAGTGTAACTCTGAAACTTTGCAGCTCATTCCACATAGCATTAACCTTTCCCTTCCTCATTACTATAGTATTAGTCTCCTTAAGGTCATTTCTTTTCATGAATACTTACATAATCCCTTGTCAGATACATAAGGCAGATGATATATACAGTACACCACTTGAAAAATCCCACACATGCCTTGTAGAAAAGGACAGTGTGCTGTTCATGCTGACATTTACAGACATTACCCTAACTAAGCCATGCATATTTTAATTTTTAATCTGTGATGAATTGTTGTTTCCCATGATGTGTATTAGGAAACCCTTCTTTTAGTGTTGATTTCCAATGAATTGAGCCCTGACTTGTCCGCAGTTGGCTGATTAAAAAATATCCAAACAAAGCCTTCTGGTGCTTTCCTCAAGACTCCCCTGTGTCCCAAGGGGTCACCTTTGCCATGTGGAAAACCCTCTGTTTTGGGACGCCTGGGTGGCTCAGTCGGTTAAGCATCTGACTTCAAGCCCCGCATCAGGCACTGTGCTGACAGCTCAGAGCCTGCAGCCTGTTTCAAATTCTGTGTCTCCCTCTCTCTCTGACCCTCCCCCATTCATGCTGTCTCTCCCTGTCTCAAAAATAAATAAATGTTTAAAAAAAAAAAAAACCCTCTGTTTCTGGTAAGGGACCTGATTGTAGGAAGAAGTGCAAGATGGTGGAGGAAGGCACGGAGGTTTTTTGGTTTTTGTTTTTGTTTTTGTTTTTGTTTTTGTTTTGTTTTGTTTTGTTTTTCTACCCAGTCTATGCAAATCAGAATAAATGTCCATCCATTCTTTGGCCTCTATCAAATGCAGAACCTGGTGCAGCTCTGTGAGGAACAAGAATTCAGTCCCTACTATGGACACAGAGAAGGTCAAGGGAAATGATGTGACAATTTTCAGTTGTAAGTCTCTCTCTGGAATCTTTTGTCTCTTTATACAGCACTCTCTCCTGGTCTTGTCTCTAGGTTGTGTTTCTGAGATATATCTACGGTGTTATTTACTTTACAAAGAGTAAAACTCTTTCCCAAGAACCAACAGGCCTCTCTGTTCTTAGCTTGTTTGTCATCTTTGGTGGTACCTCCAGCAGCCATAAGTGTTTAGAGGCTGAGGACCACAGGGCAGTCACTGTATGTTTGTGGAAATAACATGAGTAGGATGACATCTCACTCCACACTTACGTCTCCTGGCCTGGCTCAATTTTTCCAGACCTCCTTTCATGGGAATATTCCTGAAAACTGAAACAGTATTATTGTTGTTCTTTTACTCCTTTTCTGTCAAGAGTTAGTCATTAACCTGGTTAGAACATTGGTTGTGATCCTCACTAACTGAAAAACATGAAAAGTCCTACTTTCTGCGATGTGCTTAGCAATTTTGAATGCTCTTAGTCAAAGGTTAATTTTTTCCAAATTTCATAATTCATCAGTTTTCCCATCTCTGGGAAATGTGCTTTTGCAGAATCACTGCAACTGTTCATGTAGTAAAAATATTATGAATTCTCAGGGAAGACATTTTTGCAGTAGAACACTGCAATGTTTTCAGTGAGGAAACCCTGCATTAATCCAGATATTGTGGACTTTTCCCAACTACCAGCTACCTCGCAGTAGCACCAATCCAGGTGGGAGCTGAGGTAGACTTATGGTAGTAGTTTTTGGGGTGAGACTTATGATGTCTCATATTCCTCCCAGTGTTTTCTTTATTTTTTCTTTTTCTTTTTTTTGCAATGGCTGTTTATTTATTGAGCAGGAGAGAAAGAGAGACAGAACACAAGCGAGAGAGGGGCAGAGAGAGAGAGGGAGACACAGAATCCAAAGCAGTCTCCAGGCTCAGAGCTGTCAGCCCAGAACCTGATGAGAGGCTCAAACTCATAACCCATGAGATCATGACCTGAGCTGAAGTCAGACACTTACCCAACTGAGCCACCCAGGTGTCCCTCCTCCCACTGTTTTCTTAGTGATGGATGGGCAGGGCAGAGTTTGAAGACATGATACCCTTTCCTCCCTCACCACCAAGGCGGGGGTTTGTTGTAAGCATAGGGCTCTTTCCAGGTCTTCAAAGCCCATGCCTTCTGCCCTTGAGCCCCTGATGCCTGCAGGGCCCTCCTTCCTCCCAGGTTGTGGAGGCAACCAGCCCCTCAGCAACTTTGGGGTTATGGCTGGGCCACCAAGGGGTCAAGGCCTGGCTGTCCAGACGCTTTCCAGGAGTGGCTTGGAACAGCGATGCTGCAGTACAGGTCAGCATGAGCAGCTTCGGTAAACAGGATTTTCATACACTGCGATCAGGGCCTGGGCTAAAAGATGACAGGAGAGAGGGGGACACAGGAAATGTGGTGCCATGCTTTATGGACAGGGCTGCATAGAGCAGAAGGATGAGGGCCTGGGGAGAGGCAGAGAAAGAGACAGGCAGGGAGAGAGACACTGTGTCAGTGATGGGGGAATTGGGTATATCTGAAGGAGTGAGAGGAAGAAAGAGAGGGGGACAGGGGTAGAGAAAATCAGGGACAAAGAGGAGGCAAGGAGGAAAGGATGGAGCTGGTCACAGTGTGTGGAGGGGGCAATGGGCCACGCAGGAGGGGCTCTGTGATGATGCTCTTAGTGTTGGAGGCAGAAAGGGTATGAACCCTGGGAATGACAGTTGCCTGAGTGCAAGGCTCTAACCTCACTGGGGCAACCTCTGTACAGGCCATTGTCCCTGGGAAGATGGGTCCCCCTCATTTTGCCTGGCGTGTTGGGGCCCAGTCTCAGTATCGGTCATGGAGAGAAATGGCTTGAGGCAGAGTGTGAGTTCCTTAGCAGGTAAAGTCCAGAGTGTGCCCCCATAGGGAATTAATCATCATCTGTCTCCCCCAATGCCCACAGTCCCTGCTCCATTCCCCCCATGCTTGAGCAAGACCTTCCTTATGTTCTAAAATGAGGCATCAGACATTGGGCTGTCCCCAGAGCCTGCAGCCTGGAAGTTGCAAAGATGGATTATTGATCTCAACCAAAAGTATTTGAGAATAAGGTCTGTATTCTACTTTGGGAACTGTGATGGAACCAGGCTGGAATGCTGGCAGAAAAACCAAGTGGCACTAGGAAATCTTGGTGGATTGGAGATTTATTTCACACCAGCGGGCTCAGAGGAGACCGTTTCTCCAAAGATCTGAGCCCCAAATGTGAGCGGGAAGGGTAATTTATCATTATCAGCCTCCATATTTGTGTGTGTGTGAGTGGTATTCACGTGTGCAGCAAACAAGGAAGAAGACCCCAGAGGAGGGGTCTCTAAGTTAGACACCAGAGTTTGTTTTAGTCCAATCAGCCATCTTTGGTGTACTTTATCCACTTCTCCAACATTTCCCCCTTTGATGCCTTACAAAAAAAACTTTTAGTGGGCATCACCTTTCAGTTTTACAGGTTTGTACTCTCAGAAGGCTGAGATATGTGCAGTAGTTTGGTGAACAACATTGTTTTCAATAAAACATACCATGACATTCAGTATACAGGGACCGACGGATACAAGTAAAATTATGGAGAGGAAGGAGCCTGCCAGGGCAGGAAGCCAGATTGCCCAATCTGTGAGATCCCATCCTTTCCATTGATTGATATTCTCCTGTTGTCTATGTTGAATTCTTTCCTTGAGTTCCTTAACCTTGTAACTATTCCTGACTGGTTTATGAAATAGCTACCTTCCTCCCCCCAAAAGATGCAAGTCCCTCCTTTTTCTGAAGTGAGGAGGTTGAGGGCTCGCCTAGTTTGGAGGGTCACTGCTGCCAGAGAGTTTATTTGGCTTTGTAAGGTTACCAGAGAATCTGCCACCCGTTCCATGTCTTCATTTAGCTCTTGAGATAGTCTATGGTATAGTCCTACAGATGAACCTATGCCCCCTATTCCAGTTCTTATTCCCGTTGCAATTCCTGCACCTATCAGAACAGGTAGCAGGATTGCCCGTTTAGCCCAGGACATGGGGCTAAAGGGTGTTAGGAGCTGATCTTCAGTGTACATGGTTATCTCTGGGGTTAGGAAGACGGAATAACATATCGGAGTCCAGTTGGCCTCTAAGCATCAGTGGTCCGAATTAGAACATAGATAAAACACCCCAGGTTGAACATAGGGTTGTATTCCTCTTTAAGGTTATATTTCTTCTGTATAGAGAGGTACCATACATACCTTCAGGGACTGTAAAGATTAGATTGTTGGCATTTGTGAGACAGATCCCAGTGGCCAGGGGTCCAATTAAGACAGAGGTGTTGGTTTTGAGATTTTTAGGAGCTTCCCAGGTCAAAGGGAGAGGAGTGGCTAAGTAAGCCCTCCAGCAGAGGGGCAAGCACATCCAGCAGGTTTGGGTGTGATTATCTATTTTGTGGAGGACTTGTAGAGTAGTGTTAGTCCAACGCTGGAGTGGGGAATTGGTAAGCATCCGATTAAGGGCTGAAAGTCTCAAACCCTGGTAGGCTGCTGGGGAGTGTCGCCTTTATGGCTTATATTAACCTGTCCTGAGTGTCCTTTATAACCATTTGAAGGGCCCTGTTTTGCATCCCTTCCCCATCTGAGATCCCATATTGAGAAAGATAAGTGTAGCAAGCTTGCTTCCCTCTCTGGAGGCCCTTGTTGTGACATGGGCTCCTGACATTTTGGGTTATCTCTACAGTCCAATACTTAGTCCTTGGGGCACTGGATGACTGACAGAGAGTGGGTGTTTTTCCCTTGTAGCTCTCTTTGTGGAGAGAGGTGAAGGCGCTGAATGCCCTTGACCCCCTTATTGTCATATAAAAATCCTGGGGGCAAAGTGGGTAAGCAGCAGTTGTGAGGGTGAGAGAGGTTATAATATACAGGCAGTAATTAATAATCCTACCATTCAGAGGAGGTATGTGACATCCAGC